TTGCTTTTGAGTTGTTTTTTTGGAATATTTTGGGTAACAAAAGAAAAAGAGAAGAAAGATTGATGATTAGAATGAGTGATTTGAGAGAAAAAAAAGTGGATTAAGAATTGGTGAAGGAAAAAAGATTTGGGGTTTGAGATTTTGATATGGTGAATTGGAGAGCAACTATCATTTTTTTTCCTTTTTTTGAGAAGATAGGATTAGTTGAGAGAGTTTGTGAGGAGTTGAGTTTTTTCTGAAGAACCATGAAGATGACAAGAGAGAAGTTCTGCCTTTGATAGTTTTTTTTGTATGATTTCAACAAGGTTGTTTTCCTTTTTTTCGTTTGAATGGAGACGTTGATTTGACGATAAAAGAAGGAAAAGAAAATAGAGGTGAATATGGTGGAGCCGCCGTCGCCGGAATTACCGGCGGCGGCGGTGGGAGCAAAGAACTCTTTTAGGTCACCAAGAGCGGTGGCTCTGATACCATGTCGAAATATTGGAATAATAATATTGCTTCTTTTAATTATGGAATACATAATAGAGTATATATAGGAGAGATTCCTAACACAAATAGGAATAGAGAATGGAAACTAACTAACATACAACATCTACTACAAATAGGATTAGGAAGCTGACTAATAATGAAACACTACCATAACCAATACTACCAGAAGTAATATTAGTTTTATTGTCTAACAGTCCCAAAATAGAAGAAGAGTATATCAAAATCTCCACAAAATTGAAATTTCTCAAGTTTTGATATTCGACGCTCTGACGGTTTTCTTTTCATATCAACATGGTTCCCAAATCTTATAAATACCCACGTTCCTCCTACATTCGTCACGCTAGTTACGCTGGACAAAAAAATTAAACTAACACGGTACCATACCAGACCATAATGGCACCTAATTGTTTATAATGTTTTTAAACGGGATTGATTTTTTTACATCCGATCGAACTGATATCAAATGGGACAGGACCGTGATACAAAAATTTGAAACCGATTATCACATATCTAACCGTTCAAAGCTATCTATGGAAAATGTCAAATACTCATTTGTCTACTTTATTTTACCATATATGGAGTACTTCGTATTATATATTGTATTATTCTTTTTTAATATCCTTTTATTATTATTGTTTTTAATATATTTTTTACTACTAGGAAAATTATTTTTTAGGAGAATAAGGAAGCTCTCACCCTTATACATAGAGAATACATAGAAATTCTAAACCAAAGTAAGAATAAGAAATAAAGTAGCAATAATAAATATCATAAAAACATAAAATGGAAATTAATAATAATATTTTTTAAATATTTCTATTATCTTTCCGCAAGCTGATCACAGGTAAAGATGAACAGCTTAAAGCACAAGTATTAATGGAGCTGGTGGAAAAGCTTTCGTGAAAGTGGCAGGTAGAAGGATAGAGGCAGATCTTTGTTGCATGATAAACATGCTTGATAGTGTGTTTCCGAGTATGTTTCAGGGAGAGGTTTGGCGATTTGAGCAAAGGCGAGAAGTTTCTTTTTCTTCTTTTGGGTCATTCTCGCCAAAAAATTATGAGCGCGTCTAACAGTTGTCATTCCATATCCGCGCTCTCTCTCTCTTTGCTCTGATATCATGATATAATTTGATAATAATTGATCTTATCAAATAAGGAAGGTTTCACCCCTATATATAGAAAATACATAGGAATTCCAAATTGAATTAAGAATAGAAAGTCAAGTAGAAAAAGTAACGGAAATAATCCCACCTTTTCGCATATGTGCGAGTTTTGGGTCACCGTTAAAAAAACTAACGGCCACTTAACGGAAGTTTTTGAAAATGCATGTTTTTTGCAAATAAATGAAAGGTGGGATTATTTTAGAAAAATTTACTTTTTACTTTTTTAGTTTTGAATTTAAAATTAATATTTTTAAAAATATAACAATACACTCTTGTTAGAGATTTGTCTAATGATTAACAAATTTTGTTAATTGTTTTGGGAAAATATAGTATTGAATTATCAAAAATAATTCAGAGTATCGATCAAGAAAGAAATTACAATAAAAAAATTGTAGTGATTTATAAAATTTATGGGTTCCGTTTCGGAGAAAAAAATATTGTGTCATTTTCACAACTTTTGAATTACTATTTTGGGGAAAAATTTGTATTGAATTATTAAAAAAATCACAAATTGGGTAGTTCNAAATGTAGTGAGTTATAAAAATAAAAGTTCTATTTTAGAGAAAAAAATTGTTGTGTTATTTTCACAACTATTGTAATGTTGTTTCACAAAAAATATTTATATAGAACTATCGAAAAATATTCATAAGTTTTGTAGTGCCATTTTTTTAAGAAATAATAATAATGTAGTATCAAAAAATAATTTGAAGTGCAGCTCAAGAAAAATACAGTAAATGCAACTTACAAAAAAATATACTCCCTCCGTTATCAAAAACACTTCCTCTTTTATTTTTTTCCCTTCCAACAAAACACTTCTACTTTCTATTAAAAAACTACTTTTACCCTTACTTTTTCATACCCTACGGTCCTACCTATCACATCATACTTTATCTTTAATAATCTATCCATCACATCTTACTTTTACCTATCACATCAAGGGCAAAATTGGAAGTCAACTACAATTTAATACTTCCTTATTTTTACACAAAGTCAAAAGAGGAACACTTTTTTCAAACGGAGGCAGTAGTTAGTTATGAAGTTAATAAATTAGCTCTATTGTGTAGAATAATTTATTTTCTAATTATTACCATATTATTGGTTATTGAAAAAAAATAATTAGTTTCACTCTAAAAACACCTATATTTGGTATTTTTTCCAAAAAAATAAAATAAAAATACATTTAAAAAAATTAAAAAACGAAAAAGGGAGAATTTACCTAAAATAATCCCACCTTTCATTTATTTGCGAAAAACGGGCATTTTTCAAAATTTCCGTTAGGTGACCGTTAGTTTTTTAACGGCGACCCAAAACTCGCACATATGCGGGAAGGTGGTATTATTTCTGGTGAGAGTGAAAAGTAGGATTATATTTGAAAGAGCACTAAAAGATGGGACTATTTCAAATAATTTTTCCTAAAAAATATTTGTCTTGAGATGGAGAGCTTGAATTACTCCATTTCGTCCAATCGTCCTTCATCTTACTGTTTGTTCTTGATAAGGTTGATAGATGAAACATCACGAGTAGGCTTGTTGCATGAAATTTGTACTACGTTTAACTGGCAATATAAAATTTGATATTACTAAGGATACTTTCGTGTATGACTTATTTTTCTGTTTATTACTTATTCTTACTAAAATCTAGATCAGATCACGACAAAAAATAATAAAAATAATGATTGGATAGGGTGATAAAATGAAAATGGAAAACCTACGTAAGAGAAAAAAGTGAAAATGAAATTGCATTATTCCACACATCATTTATTTAGGTGAAACCACTTACAAAACATACACTGAATCAGTCTAAAAATTAGAGCTGCAATCAAATGGTTTACCTCTTGCGCGAAGACAATTGGAAGCATGTACAACTAACCTATCTTTGGGTTAAGTATTGAAATGTGTAGTATACAAAGAATTTCTCCACTGCAGTCAAATATTATTGACCACTCGCAGTTAATAATCCCAAGTTTTACCAAATAGAAACCTATCCTAGCTAGCTATATTCATTCACAGCCCAAACACATTACATGCAACAAATTTTGTTGAGAAAAAAAATGCATATGAGTATATGACTATCATGTGAGTGTGAAAGGTGAAAGATGCATTACTCACTTGAGCCATAGTTTTGAGAATCAAAATTGAGAATGATAATAATCATTGGCGCCCTTACGTTCAAAAGCTTGATATGAGACCAATGCCCAACTCCTCGGCAAGCTCGTCCCACACCGGAAGCAGAATCAACACTCCTAAAAACACGGCCACTGAGAGAAGGGTTTTTCTCCAGGTTCCAACCTCTGTCACATCATTCAGGCAAGGCTTCTCCGGTGTCCTCTACATGAGAAATGCGTAAGGGAACAGAGAGTTCAACTTCAGGAGGGAGTGTCATGGAATAATTAATAAGCCAGTTGGAAGCAATCTTTTTGTTTGGTGTATCTTTTATGTATGCTAGATTTTTTCTGAAAAAACAAAATACCTGACAAATGAGTACATATAATCCCCATGGTAGTGACAATGGTCCGCCAAGCTGGGAAAAGCACAAATCAAAAATCTTGATGAGCACTAATTTATGATGAGTACAAGGGAGAGAAAATGGTGAAATACGGAGAAGGGACTAGTTGTTGACCTACTATTTACTGTTAAAAATAGAACGGAGCGTTATTCTTCTAGGGTCCATTTGGAACGTGGGAAACGCTAGAAAGTATGTGAGAAATTTGAAAGGAAATAGAATGTGAGGGAAAATTAAGCACAGGTAAAAAGAAAAAATAAATATATTTTCATTTCCTTTGCATTTTCTAGGGTAAAATCCAACATTTTTTTTTTGTTTCAAAACCCTATTATATTTTGATTTCACATTTCTTTCAAAGCCACCCAAACAAATGGGTTATGAAACACAGAGTAAATTTTACCCAAGTCTAATTCCACCCAAAACCCAAGGGGTTTTAAAACAAATTTATTAGCCCAAACGAGATGTCCTAAGAAAGGCCTACCACTCCAAGTCCCAACATTGTGTAGGTTGCCAGACTAAAGGCGGTGATTGCATTTTTTCCAAAAGCACCCTGCCAAAAGAAGTGTAGCGTAAAATTATAAAATACAGAGGAATGATCATCATCACTCGTCAAAACCCAAAGAATTAATCAAAAAAATCAAATAAAAAATATTAGACTAAACTGAGGGAAAAGCGTCATTAATTTAAGGTATGCTTGCATACATACACTGATGCACATACTGAAATGTTTCTATGGTGGGACTTTGGAGGGGAGAGGAAGAAAGTTGAGGGCTGGTGTCTGTTTGGTAGGAGTTATAGGTGTTTGGGGGGGGGATCAAGTGGACGAGCTGTAGAATCATCAATGCTCCTCATTCCTCATATTTCACTCCCCAAATTTGGAGGATTTATGATAGGAAACATAAGGATTGGATCGGGGTTTTAGCATTTCTTTTTCAATTTTTTAATCAAAATTATTTTACATTATCATTTTTAAATATTTTCTAGATATAAATTACTCCTGCATATTTTTAATTAAAAAAGAATATACTAAATATTACGGAGCATATTTTTACATATTTCTTTAAAATATATTTTTACATCCTTACATCTCCATTGAACCAAACATAACAATTCTAAACTCTTCCATTTTCCTCCCCTCTCCTCTATTGAACATAATAACAAAGAGTAAGTGTGCAATTATGTAAGTGTTCGGCACATCATGTATAACTTGTAGGCCATGTTGTTGAACAATGAAACAATACCTTAAATAGTTAAATCCTTAAGAAATGGTATCTAGGCTTCTTAGGAGAGCCATTGATGCTTTTATGCAATTTCAACCAACCACGAAACTATATTTAGAAAAATAAAAAGGGCAGATTGAAGTTACCTGCACAGCTCTTCCACCATCAAGACATCCAACAGGAAGCATATTGAGAGCTGATGTAGTTAAGCCACACCTGAAATGACAACCTTACAGTTAACTTGCAAGGAAGGTGTAAGCTAGGAAAAGGGACAAGTACAACATTAAGTTATTACCATCCAGCAATCACAAGAGGATGTATTGAGACTGCATTTGCATGAATTTCTCTGTGAAGTAGAGAAGCGAATGTATAAGAAACAAGAGATTGCATGGAAGCAGATAGAGATAATAATTGACATGCAAGAATATCTCAATAGTAAAGACAATGTTAAAAATGGTCTTCTCCATTTCTGAACGGATAGTTAAAAAGATGCAAGCACAAGAGCATGTATGATATCACAATTCACAAGCATGTAGTTTGTCACAATTTTGTTCCACAAACTCTTCTTTGACAGATGTTTGGAGAGCTGAACTTACGAATAACCGAGAGTAGCTCTACTGATAAGTCCAAGAAGCAATGAGCCCTGGAAAAGTGTGCTAGGAACCTGAACCAAGTCACCCGAAGCAGCTGGGTTTGAAGAAAGTAGTAGGCCAAAAGCAAACATGGCGGACGACAATGCTGCTCCAGCCAGTGGGCCAGCTACAGAAATGTCAACCTTTGCTTTTCGGTCAGGAAGAATAGACTTGAACTGAATGAGCAAAATTGAAGGATGGGAATGATTAACAAGAATGACAAACGCACACACATCTATATTCGGAATTAAGAGCCTTAAACTGTGAAAGTAAACACAAAACAACTGAAAATGGACATCATGCAAATTCATTCTGAGAAATGCTCCTAACTTAATACTTCAATCTAGTGCAAAACAGGGCGCTGACATATTTTAAATATTAAAAAAATGCAGTTCTACATTATTTAGGATATTTCCAACATATGTTCTCAAGGTGGTACTTGTATAATGCATTCTAGGACTTCCATAAAAGACAAGTCAAACAACATTTGTCCAAATAATGTAACTATTTGGCATTTCTGCATGTTTGCCACTGCAAGCATGTTCTGCTCCATGTCTCAACATATAAAGATAAAGATATTTTCAAAAAAACATCAACTTGATCTACACACATTTGTGCTTGCACAAAAACCATGGGTAAAATGTGCATAATATGGGAAGTGATCTAGTGCACTCTTATCGTAATAGGCTCCCCAACTGTCACATCTAATAGAAACATCGAAACAATCAACTTGCGAACTTCACTAAGTTTTCATTTTCTATCAGTGACTTGAAGTATTCTAACCTGAGTGATTGCTCCAAAGCTTCCGAGAGTGATGTTTGGAATAAAGTAAGGAATGCTCAGTTTAACTTTTCTCGGGAAGGCAACCAGAAGATGCCCAACTTCCTGCAGGAAATCAACTCTTTCATGTAGAATTAGAACACCGAAGAATTTTCCGAAAGATTTACAAGGGAAAGAACGCTGGTTCTAGATTACTAGAATAGCCACTAAAATACCTAGGGCCTTAACTAGTTGATCATTGTACTATTATTTGTCTAAAGATGTGCTAACAATTGTTCGTGAATAGAACCACATGTTTAGTTGGATGCATAAAATTGATCAGGAAATTTAGAACTATGCACCAATGTGGTTGAATATTACACATTTCTCATTGATTATGTTAAAGGATACCGGATTTTACACAAAAATGATACTGCCTCCATTCCTATATTTAGTGTTTTTTCTTCATCTCACAATGTTTAACTGATGTTATTTTCAATTCAATTTATTTACTCCCTTCTTCCCCAAACCAAAGTTCCACAATTGACTTGACAACAATAACCCAATATAATCCCAACTCCGTTAGGGTCTGAGGGTCAAGATGTACACAGTCTTTCCTCCAAAAAAAAGAGAGATTTTTTCCATTAGACCCTAGATGCATTGCTGCATTTACTACACAATACTTCGCATAATGTAAGAACTTGAGCAAGGGAAGTTTAATATTCTATTTTGATTTAGTCTATTATATGCCCAAAACAAAACAGATTGCCATTAATGGCATTCTTAGCTCTCCTGGCAATGCACCGACCACAACTGGTTGGAGACAACTATTTAAAAAAGGTGAAAGTTTGGGGTTGAGTTTTGTGTGGAGGAGAGAAAAATGTTTGAACCACACAATTCCGTCCTCAAAAGGAAAGATGAATCTTTTCTTAGGACAAACAAAAAAGAAAATGTCGAACTCTTTAATAGGCCGGAAGGAGCACTTACATAATACTTCAAAAGTTACAAATAAGGGGTGGCTTGACTCTTTTATCATACCAAATTATCGACAACAACAACCCCAAGGAAATGCCACAAAGAAGGGGTCTGGGCCTCTAGGGAGGGTAAGTTTACGCATATGATGCCCCTACTTGGAGAGTAAAGAGGCTATTTCCAAGTGACCCCTACTCGAAACAAAATGAACAAAGAGAATGAAAGAACAAACAAGTAGGATAAAAAGAGAAAGGAAGATGGAGCACAAAGGAAGTAAGTAAATACAACAAACTAAAGCACTCAGTCCAGGTGCACTAGCGCAAACCACAAACTACAGAGCATCCAAAGTGAAATTATCCCATAGAACTATAGAAGAATATGGATTATGGACCTGTGGCTAGAGCCTTGTTTTTTTGCGTTGGGATATGATGGAATAAAGCAAAATGGTTGAGAGTCTTTAAACTATCTGTGCTTCTTTCAATAGTGAAGTAGCAGTTGGTCAATGCAAGTTTCGGCGCTCATCATGGGTCATCCAAAAACAGCCGCTCTATGTTTTACACATCGGGGTCAGGTTGTGTACATCCGACCCCCCCCCCCTCCCCTTATCCTGCAATGGGCGGGGAGCCTTTGAGGCACTGGTGTAATATTGTTGTTGGATTGAGCCTTGTTTTCTTACTTAAGTCTATATTAATCTTCAATTAGATATGCAATGACATTGTATCAATTAAGTAACTAACTGAAAGGAAGAATTCTTACATGGAGTAACTGCACTCCCAAGACACCATACGCAAGGGGCAAAGCAGAATCAATGAAAGGTAATAGAAGCTGCATATCCGGTGGCTCAATGGCATTTGGATCAGTGAAGTACTTGACTACCTCAGGAGGAAGGCGATTAATCTGTTTAAGAAACAATCTTAATGAATCAGAGCACTTCTATTGAACCTTTGTGTACTAAATATAATAATGATACAATAAATGTCCAAATAAGCATATATCAGAACATAAGGATTAACAAACCTGAGATGCAATTCCTAGCTCCACAGAGGATCCAATTGTAAGAAGAAATAAGATAAAAGCAATTACGTACTGCCACAGAGTTGTTTGACTAGGTTCAGAAACCTCTTTACGCAGCATTCCAAAGCTGACTCTAGGCCCACCGTGTGGATCTACTCCTTCAGAATTAGGTTCCTCCACCATGAACAAATTGTACTTATCACCCATAATTTCATATAGTCGAGTCTGCAGTTTGGAGAAAACATCCTCCCTCTTTCCCCTAAGATTTCCAATGAAAAGAATGCCCTCCCCAAGATCTCCAAATGGTTCCTCTCTTGTCACCCAAAAAGTGGAATAACCAAAAAGTTTCTCCTTAATGATCTTTACATCAGGAGGATCAATTTTCTCTGGTCCAAGAAGTTCCATCAATTTGAAAGAGTCTACTTGGAAACTATTATAAGGCGATCCAACCAGTGTTGGCTGTTGCAAAGGCCAAAGACAAATGGTTTATTACATTACAATAATCTTCTCTTCACACCGATTTTATCAAAAGCTTGACAGTTTCCAATATCTTTAAGTATTTGACACATTAGTGCAGAAGCTTGTTTGATCTTTTACAAGGATCGCTATTAAACTATGGTTAAATCCTGCTGATCATACAGGCATTTTTACTCTAGATCGAACTAATGTAATTTGTTATTGGCCAGCAATGCCATATATCAAATTTCAATCATCCGGACAACTTTTATGAAAATGTCAACGAAATGGGGAACTAGAAATGCTCACTCTTGACGAAACAGAAGCTGGAGATTCCTCAACATCTTCAGAACCGCCCGGCCTGCGCCTATCCTCCGTGGTGTCATGGGTAGGGGTGGTGGTGGCGGCGGTGGCCAAATTGGAAGGGTTGTCCTTCTCCAGCTTCCCGTCGCCGCCGTTCCTGCCTCCATTACTGCCGCCAGAGCCACTGAAAGACCTAATTATCAATCTGCCTGAATTCCTCTTGGATATTGTCCTCAGCGGATTTCTTTGCTTCAGAATGTAACTCGTATGGAGATTCAAAAGGAGCCTCAGGTTTGTTGCGCTGCTAAAGCTACAACTTGTGAGCGCAGCCATGGTATTGCCAATGAGAGAAATCTCCGCCTTGCGTTGTTCTTCACGTCAATGAGAATCACTCGGTACTTTTCTGTAATTTGGAGTAAATTTTAAAAATAATCTTTTATCCTAGAGTATAATTTAGAGCTTTTTTTTTTAAGGAAGTGCAAAATTTGGGTTGACTTTCCCAAAATACCCCTAAAATCCTCCCCTTTGCCCAACAACGAGCAGATCTAAAATTACTCCCCCAACACTTCTTCGAAAATGCACTGCATCAAAATTAAAATTACAGTCTAGATGAATAAGAAATCTAAAATAAATCTCGAGTTGAAAGTCAGGAGTTCCGTGCAAATTCACTCCAAAATGGAGTTCAATATGGACTTGCGCATGAGCTTTAGGGGAGCTCCACTTCTAGATCTGCCATCATAAAAAATGGAGTTCATAATCCGCAAGATCCATCATCGCAAATGTCATATCTTCATATTCGTCTCTTATCATCTTTATTATCTCTCAGATTTATCTGTATGCTCACTATTCACTGCTTTCCTCATAATTTCCAGATCTGCAGCCCCCTCGCCATGTTAGGTGAACGAGAGAGAAAATAAAATTCTTTCAAGAAATTGAGAAAATTGAAGAGAGACGACGGTGAAGAGAGATGACGATTGATAGAGGATAAATGGAGAGGAAAATGAAACAAATGACGATGGGGAGTGGAGAACAGTAAGGAGGAAGAGGAAGAGTAAGAACAAATATTAAAGTTGTGTGGAGGGTGGGATCGTTGGTGAGGATAAAGATAAAAGGGTATAATTGTCACTCACACCCTTTTTTTAGAAATGGGAAGGTAGTTTTAGGACGGAGAAAAAAGGGAAGTGTGAAGAACGTTTTAGGACGGAGGGAGTATGTTGGAAGAAAGTGGAAGAATTGGAAGAAATTAAAAGAAATTAGAAAAACTGTAAAAAATTAAAAAAACTAGAAAAAATGGAGAATCTAAAAAAGCTTTTAAAACATTTATTTTAGTGTATTTTTTTTACATTAGTAGACACATAAAGTTGAACTCATCAAATATACTCAAAGATATGACATGCAATTTACATTAGTAGACACATAAAGTGTCAGGGCAATCTCGATCCATTCTAAAACATCAACATATGGAAAGCACTACATGCGGTACCTTCCATAGTCAGGGCTCTTGGCTTGCTCATACACGGGGCTACTATACCTGTCACAGACCGGACTGCGAGGACATCCGTAATTAGGGCTGGATCGATTTCTGCGATACATTGAGCTTGGTGACGTTCTATATGGAGAAGGGATTTCCATTCCCCCAAGCATGCCATAGTTTGTGGGGATGTCAAACATATCTTCCCTCTACCACCCTATCGAGTATCTTGCTGCAGATAAACTATCAACTTCATGAACACATTTTTTCTGTGTAGATAATCAGAACTACATATCTTTACAAAATTTTAATTATATTACCCCATGTGAGTGCACTCTAAAGCTTTTGTTGCCTCTTCCTGAGTTTCAAACGGACTTAAAGCGAAATTTCCCCGAATCCAAACATTGTGGATTTTTCCATAAGGCTCAAAGTGTCTCTCAATGTCACAGACTCTAGTTTGGTGAAGATCAAAATTGATCACAAACAGAGTTATGGTTGGCCTCTGATTTGCCATAACCTTGGATCCCTCACGAATTGACCCTCCCCTTGAAAAGGATAAACATGAGAAAAGAAGGGATCACTATCACTGAAAATAGACAAGAGTTGCTATAACAACACAATAAAGCATTACCCAAATGCAACATTGTAACACCCAAATTCGTCCAAGTCTGCAGCTCCTTTTGGAATAAAGTACTCCGTATTAACTTGGTATTATATTAAAAATTTAAATTATTTCAACACATTTATTTATCACAATAATATTTTCCATAACATAATAGTACGGAATTTTCAATATTATATTCTTCAATTCAAAATCATCACATTCATTCCGACAATCTTGCCTCCGTCTGCCTTCAAGATCACGTCACATCATTCTATTAACATGCGTATAGCAAATAAAACATACTACACGCTCAGCATTGAAGCTGAGTATGTAAGCATACATAATGCGTCGAACATCCATATAAATTGAATCTCAATTCATAATCAATTCATTTGATATCAGGCACATAATGTTCAAGTTAAATAATCAATATTCAATTTCCATCATTCATTATTCAACATTATTGTTCATATTCAACATTCATCATTTATATTCATCATTCCTATGTAACATTCCTCAGTCATTCATAATTTTCACAATATTTAATTCAAGTCATTTATCATTCATGATATTCACAATATTCATCATTCATATTCAAGATTCAACAATATCGTTAACTATTATTAGTCTAAGGCCAATTTCTTATCATGTTTACCAACCCTAAAACAAATTCTAGTTTAAAGTAAATAAACTATATTTGTAACGCCCTAAAAATGAGCCTATTAATTTTAATAAAATCTTTCACAAAACAAACTATTTTGTTCGATAAAAAAATAGAAATACAAAAAAAGGTCGATTGTTTTGTAATCAATGTTGGTACGAGTTTGTTTATAGAGTTTATCAAGAACTTTCCAACGACATAATTTATGAGCAAAATATATTTATAGATTAAAAGTTATGCGTAAATTAATATTTTAAAAAAAATAAATTTATATCAAAATTTTCTAAATAAAGTTAGTATTAAATATAAGTTGGTATTTTATTGAATTAGACAATTTATATAAAAAAATATAAATACAAGTTTATAATAAATGAAATCAATTATAAGACATGAAATAAAATAGAGGAAGTAGAGTAAATCTTATCATAATCTTTAAGCTTGACATGTAAAGGGTAAGTGGCAAATGACACTAACTTATCCTTTGAATAGCCACGTGTAACCTCATCATTTCTCCCAATTCTTAAGCATTAAGAAAACTTAGCTATAAATAGTATACTAGTATTCTAACCCGTGCCATGCACGGGTGGAACGAAATTATTTTCGATATTAAAAATTTATTTAATTATTTAAAGTGTTATTCATTTGTGATCTAACTCTTTAGATCTGCTTTCTTGACATAAAATACCTTTTCAAAAAATTACAATTCTACTTTATTGTGTTAGTTTGTAGAAGGGGTAAGAGATCATTTTTTAGGAATGAAATTATTTTTGATCCAAAATATATCTTTTTTTTTAAGATTTTGTTCATTTGGATTCCAACTCTTCAGATATGTTTTGTTGAGATAAAAAAAAACTTTTCCAAAAAATTACAATTCTACTTTCTTATGTTAGTTTGCCGAAGTGATTAGAGATCATTTTTAGGGAAAATGTTTTCTCAAAGAATGGAAAAAATAACTTTTGAATGTTTTCAATGTTTTTTACTCGATTATCGAATACTTTAATTCCTTAACTTCATTTCCCCACCAACTCCCATCCTTTTCCCCATCCCCCACACCCGGTCACACTCTCCCTTCGCCCCTGCCCCAGAGGCAGGATTTGGACTTACGTAGAAAAACTTCATTAAATTTACAGTGTGCCACTTTTGACCACTCGGCCACTCCCCTTCCCAGACCGAATTCGTTTCACCTAGTGAAACTCACTTCAAGCAATATGTATTCGTTAATCTCCAAGCTTACGTATCTAGTTCAAGTTCAGCTCATTAGTGAAGGAGCCTCGTCCACCCTTTAGAGAATGAAACTCTATAATGAAGATTTGATATTGATCGTGTGTTAAAACTAAAATATGCTCCCTAAAATATATTACAACTATCTCAAATATCTTCACTTTTTATTCAAATATCAATAATGGACTAATTCTAACAAATAATAGATTTTTTTTTGAAGAAACATATTTTCATAAAAAATATTTTCCCCTAAAATAATTGTCTAAAAATATATTTTTCCATAACCAAATACACTCTTAACTTCAAATTTTTCTCAACGCAACTATTTCTTTTCAACTTCTTTTAGTTTCTTCAGATACAATATTTCTAACTTCATATTCCTTCATACTCTTTCTAGTTATATCTAAATTCTTTTCATTTCTTTCAGTAGTGATTATAAATTACTTGCATGCATTTTTCATGTCAATAATACTATTATTATTATTACTACTATTATCAGAACAGTTCTAGAGCCACGTGCTTGGAGGTTTATTTAAGTGTTAGGGATAATTAAGGTTATTACCTTCTATAAACTTTTAATAAATGCTTTATTTTAATATAATCAAGTAATTGTTACATGGAATCTTACATGTCAAAAATAATGCCTTCAAAAAAATATTTTATTTGCCATATTCTTAAAGACTCGAGTCTCAAATTTATATGGAAGGGATTAGAAAAAAATTATGATTCATATCCCCCGAATTAATAAGATTATCCTCCCTCATATTAGTTTAAAAAATACTCCATATGATCTTTGTCTCCCTCTGCATTAGTTCATTAAAAATACTAATAAACAAATATTAGCGATCTTATAATTATTCTCCGTAATTAAATTTACTCAATGATGTTGAAATCTTAAATATGTTAGTAAAACATTGCATGTCAAGGGGTACATCTGTTTATCAATTTTATTTATAATTTAATTAAAAATATCATATCATAATAGATATATACCTAAAAATACAGTAATATACTTTTAAATTTCAATCATACATCATCTAAGAAATATAAACTATGATTTGTCTAGTAATAAAAATAATTTATTCAAACTACGTATAATATTTTTTTTGTTTATTTATCAAATTTATTTATAGGTAAATAAAGTATTTGATTTATTATTTAAAAAAACTTTACGTTGTAAATGAAGAGAAAAAATACAGTAGGAAATATTATTATCATAAAAAATTTTTTTTACCAATGCTTCACACGAGCTTGTATACTTTAGCGTAAAATGTAACTACAAATTAAAATTATAAGGATGAAATAAAAAATAAATAAATAAGTAAAATGTATACTCTATTAAAGTTTGTGTCCTGATAGTCTTCAAGAAATTTCATTGTTGTTTAAAAATAATCCAAATTGTAGTTGATGGGCGTAATATTGATAGAGAACGGTGTTCACATGTGTAAAAGGTAGTCCATACCCAAAGAAATATCCTAAAGATCTTGGTACTCTATGCCAAGGTACTCCATACCAACTATCTTCACATCTGAAGTGTCAACATTCTTTCATCAAATATATATACCTAATAATTTTCTGCAAAATCAAACTCTTAACACATATTTCATTTCTTATAATTCAAAGTGTAGGGCAAAATGAAAGAAAAACAATGCAAACATGTTAATGTGTCAATGCTTCAATTCTAAGTCAATCTTCCTCCAATCAAGACCCTTTTGTTTGAAATAAAACCTGGAATTCAAGCATCTCCAATTGCATAACCTAATTTATGTCCATTATGCAATGAATTCATTACATCAATTTGCTAGCAAATTAATTAAAGAGGTGTATTATTCTTAGAAATCAGCAAGAGCATAGATAAATTTTTTTACACTATAAAATCAACATAAACAACTTGTTTTGGGGAAATAAATCGGCATGCAAAAGATCACAAATAAGCATTCCAAATGCAGAATATAGCAATAAGAATTCAGCTCAAAAAGCCACAAAATTTTTCAAAAAAATGGCATGGGCAGATCATATTTTTGAACAAAATTAGCACTCAATGCTGTCAAAAAAAGGCCGTGCTGTAGATGAGAATATGCAAGTACAATATGTATTTTATTCAAAATACAACATACTCCGTATATGATAAGGGGTAACAAAAATCAGAAAGCAAATACAAAAAATAATCTACAAAATTACTCAAATAGTGTATGCAAAAATATAACAAATACACAAACAGAACAACGACAACTAAACAGAGATATTTTGGGAGCCTATACATTTGAGAAAGTGTTAGTTTTTGAAATAGTAATGAGTAATGATGGTTTTAACTTTAAGACATCACATGTCTCTTTAATATATTTGACCCATTACCTAACGTAGCCAAATTTTGGGCATCTTCTCCCTCTTGATTGATATCTAATACCTATTAAACAATAAAAATAAATTTCATCCAAGTTGACCTAAGGAAGCACTGCCATATTGCTAGCCACAACTTAAGTGATGTGAGTTCCTTAGGCACTGAGATTTACTTTCTTTAGTTGTGTGCATTCTGATGTAGAACTTTGTAGATCCTGCAAACTAAATGGTTTCTAGGAGTAAGAATTTACAAATGATTTGTGAGCAAAAGCACATACATCCCAGAATAGTTAAAATATTGGTTATGACTCACAATAGTTGAACTAACTACTAAGTACCTTATACTTAACACAAAGCAAGTTCTGAGATGTAGCATTCTGTTTCAGTCCTCTTTTGGAGTGTAACTTCGACATATACCTGATCCTCTGATTTTAACAACTGAAAAGAATTGATGCAGACATATTTTAACAATTGGAAGAAGGGAAACGATGGCCTTAAGAATCAGTAGTTCCCTCTTCTTCAAACCATCAATGTATTACACATCATTCATAGCACCAACAACCTCTAAGTGAAGAGTTCCCTCTTCTTCAAACCACCAAAGTATTACAGATCAAAACAACTTTTCTATTAAAGTATATATCCCTAATCATGTACTAAAACAACCCAGCATACCTCAAACCATACAGAAATGAAAGCACCTAGTCACCAGCAACCATTGCTCATTAGTCATTACCATCCAAAGCATCCTTCATCAACATAATGCAATAAACATTTGGGTGTTAAACTTTCTTAAAGGAAATTTAAATTTGAAAAAATCAAAATTGGGGAAGGAAAAGAATTAACTTGCCCATACTCTAAAAACGACCTAGTATTTCAGAGAAAAACTGATTGAGACAAATTAAGGCATGTAATTAGGCATATTATAATTCCAAATAAGCTATGTAATCTCACACGCCCAAATTGTGAATCGGATACCATGAAATTACCAAAAAAATTGGAGAAATTATGAATTAAAATCAAATTTACGAATTGAAAAGAATTGATTAGGAAACAAACCAAGAAGAATCCGAATTGAATAGTAATTAGATATGAATTTTGGAAACAAACCTATTTACAGGGAATCTTGAACCGTTGAAAAAATTCCAATCGCAGGGATTCTCGCAATCTTGAGCATTTCGAGACACTCCTTTGGTGAATTATTCGGTGTAGAATCCTTTCCTTTGGGGAAGAAGAGATGCGTAAAAAGTGCATAATTTTGGCGAAGAAGAAATCCCTAAGAAGCGGGTACTTTCCTTTGGCGAAGAAGTAATTTCAGAGCTTCGGTGAATTTGGACGAAGAAGTCAAAAAACCCTAGCAAGAGACACGTGTACATCTTCTTACGTGTCAAAAAAACAAAGCTTTAAAGTGCCACTTGTCAATTTTTTAAAGCTCTAACTCTCAAATATTATATTAAATGATTGAAGCTAAGCTAAAGCCCATGTTTTCTCCGCGGCAAAACAAATTATCCTAGTAATCAACTTGTTATATATATTATATATATACTCGTGGAGTAGGCAAGAACGTCGGAGTTTGAGCGGCTGCCAAAAGTTCATTCATTGTTTTTATCAAAACAACTCGTCTCAAACGCCAAAGTGAGTACCGCCGCCTGTATAACAATCGTTACTTAATATAATACATTAATATATGCTATATTTGTTATATATTCAATTGATTTAATTTCCGCCACTAATAATCGGAAACGCCGCCGACTTTTATTTTAACATGCGTTACATCCAAATTATCTAAAATATTCCCCAAAAGGATTTTATGGTGATTATATAAGGGCATGCGAATAGAAAATAAGGCTTTGAAACAAATTTTTGAACACCGTTAAGGAAGGCGACCGAAAAATGGGCCTCAATGGTGAGTCGTGTTTTCTACAAATTTTTACGTCCAAACTATTTATGTTAGACAATAATATTAATAGTATTTCTTGTAGTATTGGTTATGGTAGTGTTTCATTATTAGTCAGCTTTCTAATCCTATTTGTGGTAGATGTTGTATGTTAGTTAGTTTCCATTCTCTATTCCTAGTTGTGTTAGAAGTCTCTCCTATATATACTCTATCATGTACTCCATAATTCAATGAGCAATATTAATATTCCAATATTTCAACATGGTATCGGAGCCACCGCTCTTGGTGACCTAAAACTCTCTGCGCTCGCTTCTAGCGGGCGCCGCCGCCATTAGCCGCTCACCGGACCGATGTTATTCTTCCTTCAATTTTAAAGATTGGCAACTCTTCAAAAAAACTTTCTCAACTCATCCCCTTTTTTTCTCTCAAATCAGTCATTCTAATCATCAATCTTTCTTCTCTTTCTCTTTTGGTACCCAAAATATTCCAAAAAAAAACAACACAAAAGCAAAGCCAAGAGTAGAAGTAGTGAAAGAGGAAAGAATACCTCTACACCCCTTCAAGAAAGAAATAGGGCATTGCCCGGATCCAAGAAAAAAAGACAAAGAATGTCAAGGATCTTCAGTCAAACAGGCACCTCCAGTAGCCTTCTCGATTCTTCTTCGACGTCAGCAGCTACAAGCGCACGTCAACCTTCTCTCTTCTTCTTCGACGTCAGTAGCTACCAGCGCACGTCAATTTCTTTCTTCTCCAACGACGTTAGCAGCTATCAGCGCACGTCATACTTCTCTCTTCTCCAACGACGTCAGCACCCACCAGCGCACGTCAGATTTGTCTCTTCTCCAACGACGTGAGCAGCTACCGGCGCACGTCCGACTTCTCTCTTCTCAAAGTTTCCAGTTTCCAGCTAGTGTCCAAGCTTCCTCTTGCTTCAGCCAGAGTTCAGCTTGAGGGGGGATGTTAGACAATAATATTAATAGTATTTCTTGTAGTATTGGTTATGGTAGTGTTTCATTATTAGTCAGCTTTCTAATCCTATTTGTGGTAGATGTTGTATGTTAGTTAGTTTCCATTCTCTATTCCTAATTGTGTTAGAAGTCTCTCCTATATATACTCTATCATGTACTCCATAATTCAATGAGCAATATTAATATTCCAATATTTCAACAATTTATATATGTTTTTGAAAAAGTATTTGATGAGAAAAAGAAGAAAAATTGGGTTTTGAACATAAAAACAAAGTTACCTCGTCGGAGAAGATGACCGGAAACGACCAACTCCAGTGACAAGATTCTTTTACATTATATGCCTAAAACTACTTCTCTACATTCTAAGGAAGTTTTTAATAAGTTTTTAGTAAGGAAAAAAGGATAGCTTTGAAGCAAATATAAAATACTCTATGTATTATTTTTAAATTACGTATATAGAGTAAAATATGATATGTGTTAAATTTGAAATATGGATTCAAAGAAGTTAATGAGACACATACAGATACAAATTATATTTTCTAAATTTAATAAACGATTTCTGATATGTGAACTACTGTTCACAAGGTTCCACAGGGTTAACCAGTACCCCTCCATTGCCGTACGTACGAGCTCGTCATAATGGACTAGTCGTGTACGTTAAGTACTCAAAGTCCTAGTTACATAATGGACTTGTCTTGTACGTTAAGTACTTGAAGTCCCAGTTAAACAAGAATACAACAGAGTAAAGTAAAAGTTCAAATATGTGGATATTGCACCTTTATGGAAGACTGAAACAGAAATGAGTTGATATTATCAAACTAAAGAATTTTGAGAAAAGTATATGTGTACGTTATTATATTTTGTACCTATTGTTATAATTGGTACCACTCAGCTTTTCCTGATCGGGTTGGCTCCATTTTTTTAAGGTACACAAACAGAATAGTGACCGAACCGGGGGACAATGCTAAGGCGATGGAAGAATGGACGAGATGACATAAAGAAAGATAATAACAATAAAAATGTTATTTTAAAATATATATTTTGTACGAATATGTTAAGCTTCCGCATGTATAATAGTTACTCCGATATTATTAATAAATAAGTAAAGTTTTGTTTAATGCTCCATCTACCGATTCAAAAAGTTAGACCCGTTAACAACGCGAGTCGGATATTCGAATAAATTCGGATATCCAGGTCGTGGCGTTACATTTTGGTATCGGAGCAAAGTGAGGCCGGAGACATATATCTTTCTAAGAAATATTTGCACTAAATAGCACTAAAACTTAAGTCATTTTCCTAAATAGCACTTAAACTACTTTATTCTCTAAATAGCACTTAATAATGTCCATAATGTCCTGTGATGACGAATATTTACTTGAATAATGACTAATGCATAATGACTAAAAGTGCTACATTGTGAAGAAAAACACATGTGGTGCTATTTAGGGAATGTCATTATGTTTTAGTGTTATTTAAGTAAAATCCTCATCTTTCTAATCTGTGTGGTATGAGACATACAGCTTGGTAAGATACATGTAGCCGGTGGAGGTAGATATTTTTCTAATCTGTGTGGTATGGGACACACAGCTTGGGAGATACATACAAGCAACTCATGATCCTTGGGAACCCTCGCGCATGAATGGTGGCGAAGCGTGACTCCCCGCCTAAGGGCTCTAGCAATTGAGTGCTTTGATAGGACCAAATTGTAGTCACATAGATGTGTTACATTTTGGTATCGGAGCATTAAGGTTTTAAAATGATTTTCGGACCCAAATAAGAAAAAAAATTATTATAGTAGTGCATCTCGTCCACTCATCCTCCAGCATTGCTCCGGAAAGGTAAATTTTAAATACTTAGTACTTGACAATTTTATAAAGTTATATGGACATATGTTTAATAAATTAAAAAGAAAATGAATAGTATCAACAACATCACGCTCATCATCAAAATAGACAAAGAAAAAACCTGGCGTTAAAATAGCATCAGATTAACAAAGGGTAGAGTAGAGGCACCAAAGTTAGTTAAAGTCTTTTTCAGCATACAATAAGACATGTAAATTACGATTCACTCCCTGAGTGTAATGCAATAATGTACGACACCTACAGGCATGGCAAGGACCGAATAAATCAAGGATGTAGGGGCATTGCAAGAAGTAAATTAGAAGTGGGCTCATTGTCCAAGTCTCTAGTTCTTTTGAAAACATGTGTTAAAATATTATTCACATCCATCACATTTTTCAAAACTTCGACTAATTAAGCCAATAACGATCCCTCTACTTTTGTATTTGTAATAACCATCATAAAATGAATATTACTATAATTGTTTTATCCAAAAATGTTAAATATTTTTTTATTAACCACTAATATTTGTTACATTCTTGTTGATAGTCGGATGTAAAAATAAGCTAGTTAAGAACACTACTTATTTATATTGTTTTGACATAGATATCAAAATAATTAGCACGTTTTATATTTTTCAATAATTTAATTTAATAGTAATTACACATATAACAATCAATATTATACCATAACTATTTCTATTAGGAACACCAATCAATATTTAATTTCTTACACATAAATAATCGCGTACCAAGTCCTCATCATTTTACAAAGTTACTAATGGAAAACAGTATTTTTGTGGCACAAATCTATAAATTTTTACAAAGTTAGAAATGAAAAATAATAATTTTAAATTGGAAACTACTAATTTTAAAATGAAGCATACTTGTTATTTGAATTAGAATTTTTTTAATATATACAGAATAAAGTTAATTCTCTATTAAATAAACATGCCCATAAAAATCTCTTTCCTTTATATATTTGTTTCTCTTTTTTAAAATTGGAAAATCTCTCCAATTAGGATTAAATCAAAGAAAAAAATCAAAAGCAATTTCCTTTAGCCCTACCAATCGATCCTTTTTTAGAATAAACGTATTTGTTCTGATTATTATTTTTGAATATGTGTTTTTTTTAAATTTCAAAATCTACTATTTAATTTAAATATTTATAATAATAAATTAAAATATAAAAGTTTTTAAACATGATTATGCTAAGAAACTTGTGAGTAAGAATCCGAAACTTAATTTCCACAAAAAAAAGTTTTTTTTAACTAATCCTCTAAATATTACTTGCTGACATGTCAAAAAAGTTCCAATTAAGCATGCCACATGTCAAAATTTTAGAAGCCCAAATCTCAAATTATATATATAAAGATTAGGGAGCCCTAAAACTTTATATATGTTTCTTCTATCCCAAATTAAGCATCTTACTTTTCTTTTCAATATATCCAAAAAAAATTAAGATTCATGGTTCATAAGTTTTCTATTTTTTAAACAAACTTAAAGTACACACTTTTTAAATTTTTTTTAATGTTTATAAAATCAAATTGTACTATCATATAATTTGAGAATAAAGAAATAGAGACTATTTGATAGAGGTGTTCTAGAGGGACTCCAAAATTTATATCTCAACTTAAAGTCTTGAAGGCTATGTTCCGTACGCCTAATATGATTGAATCTGATCTAAATTTTTGAAGTTCTGATTTGATATGATCTGATCTAATTGGATATGATCTGATATGATTAGATCTGATCTAATCTGATTGGATTTGATCTAATCTGATCGGGTCTGATCTGATTGAATCTGATCTGATCAGATCTGATTTTCTCTAATTAGATCTGGTGTAAATGAATTTAAAGTTTATTTCAATTAAATTTAAAATTATTACAAAGTTTAATAGTTTTAAAGTATTACAATTCATATATACATAAAAAAAGTAAAATAAGAAAATTAGCTAATCATTAATATGTTTAAACTTTTTTTAAAATATTAAACATCTTTTCGATATCACAACTTTTTTAATTTGTGTGAAAACTAAATAATCGGTATTAAAATAAACAAATATTAGAAAATATTGATGCTATTGTACAAAAATATCACATTCTATATACATACTCCGTATTACATAATAATATATTTCATGTTACAAATTAAAGATCATATAAAATTTTAAACACTAATATCTCTTTTACCTCTATCAATTTTGTCATAAACTCACCTTTGTGTATATTATACTATCTTAAAGTTTAAAAGTATGTCTTTTTAAGTATAAAATATTTATAGTTTTGAAAACCAAGTTTTGTATAACTATTTTATAAACAAGTATTTTAAAATAACTCTTTTTATAAAGTATGAAAAATAAAACTTTTTAAGCTTTAACATTACTTCCATGCATCATTTCTATCCTACAAGCTAAACAATTATTTAAAATAATGGTTTGTAGTTGAAATATAATAATAATAATAATAATGACAATAATAATAATAATATAACAACAATAATATTTAAAATTCTAATATTAATTAAGATTTAGGTGTGTGTAGTTTTAAATAAATTAATTTGATTTAATCAAATAATAATAATAATTACTTAATCCTTGAAAAATATAAATATTATCTTTTATATTTTTCTTGATTTGATATTATTGGATTTGATCTGATCTGATCGGATCTGATTGGATCTGATTTGATTGGATTTGATCTGATATGTTTGGATCTGGTCTGATCTGTTTGGATCTGATCTGTAACGCCCCAAAATATACCCTAAAATTTATTGAATTAAATATTCAATTAAACAAAATTTTTTTTGATTAAAATAAATTGTTGTTGGGATTTAGGCTTGAATAAAATATATATTGATATCCAATAAACATAATTGAGATAAATCTTATAGAGATAAATCCAACATGTTGATTTATTGTGTGATCTTGATTGGGAACCTGAGTACAGACCCAAATTAAGAATAAATGAAGAAATTGTTTATAATGTGAACTTTGAAATAATTTATTGAAATAAATCATGGGAATAAATAATATGAATTAAATGTGAGAACCTTTTTTAATAAAGGCCAATTTTGACTCTGTCAAAGTCAACCACCCAAAAATATGATGTCGGAAAAAGTATAACGAATAAATATAAAAATTATATCGTTGGATAGAGTTTAATTGCACGATCGCAACGGTGCAAACGGATTTCAATTCGGAGAAAGTTGTACCAAAAAGTGTACCCGACTGGAACCAAAATTAGTCCCAATCAGGGACGGCGCCTCCTACTCCACTCAGCCGATCGAGGATGCATTCCTACGCAAATCCTACGCAGCAAATGTTGTCACCTTCCCCATTCTCTTCCTATATAAGGCCACCATCAACCCTCTCATTCCTCACAAAAAACTAATGAGTTTAGTACCAAAGTATTCTTGAGAGTGAGGAGAACATGCTGCAGTAGTTGGTGGCCACCGAAGTCGCCGGAGTTGGGAGTTATCATCGCCGGAAGTTTCGCCAGAAAATTCTCAAAACCTTCGATAAGCTTCGAGGTAAGCCCGTAGATATATCTAGTGACTAGAATGTTCATATAGATCGTTTCTACGTTCATAAACGGTCGTTTGGTTGAGTTTTGTGTTTGACATGTTTGAAAAACCAAGAATCATAAACCATGAAATTGTTGTTAAAATTACGAATTAATGACTCTAAAATGATATGTGAACATTGGAGAACATTTTTATATAATTAAATTAAAGTTTGGTGATTAAAAAATGTTAATGTTAAAACTGACCCGAGGAAGAAGATGATGAACAGTGGTCGAAAATCGATTATTTACTTACTAAAAATCGATTAGAATTTTATTTAGTTCAGTGGTTCGAAGTCAGTACCATTTAATCGATTATTTATATTGTAAAAATCGATTATTATGAATTAATGGATTATTTAAATTGTAAAAATCGATTTTTTATGAATTAATCGATTATTTATATTGTAAAAATCGATTAACATTAATTAATTGATTATTTAAATTGTAAAAATCGATTATTATGAATTAATGGATTATTTAAATTGTAAAAATCGATTTTTTATGAATTAATCGATTATTTATATTGTAAAAATCGATTAAAATTAATTAATTGATTAATTAAATTGTAAAAATCGATTATAATGAATTAATTGATTATTTAAATTGTAAAAATCGATTATTATGAATTAATGGATTATTTAAAATTATATAAATCAATTTTTATAAATTAAATGATTATTTTAAATTATTTTTTCCTCAATTCTAGATCCTGTTCTGAAAATATTATTGAAAATATGCTCTAAAATCTTATTTTTGATACCAATTAATTATGCACAATATAAATATGATTTTGTACAATAAAAATGATGTTTGTGACATATAAACATTATGTGATGCATGACGGTAAGTTCGAGTGTTAACACTCGAGACTAGGCCACTGTTTGCTATTAAATATTATGTTGAATGATCATTATGATGAATAATTATTATGGATAATTATGAATGATAAACCTACTGATTAAAATGATTATTGATGATTAAGTCATGATTAAAAATGAACTAATGGTGATTATGAAAATAATGTATATTGTTAAGGATATCTAGAAGAACTCTAAGATATACCCACTTGTATATTGATGATGATTATTAAGGATATCTAGAAGAACTCTAAGATATACCTACTTGACCAATTCATATTTCGGGTTAAAACGTACGTACGGGATCCAGACCGGATATCACCCACCCAACAACAAATAATTGTTCGGTTGGTACGTAATCCACATGACTCATAGGGTGGATTATCGATTCTTGTGTTCTGCATTAAACTATTTATAGTTTAAGGGCCTGGTTAGATTTACTGCCTTAGACTAGGAATAGCTAAGAGCTGAATATAAAATGATGTGGCCTTAGATTAAGAATAATTTAAGAGCATTATTGATATATATTGAATATCAAATGACTTGGAATAAAATATTGAAAATATTTTGAATGTTTGAACCATATATTGTGGGCATGATATCAAATGGTTGATTATGAATTGAGATTCAATTTATGTGGATGTTCGACGTTTTAGATATGCTTACTCAGCTTCACCGCTGAGCGTGTAGTATGTTTTATTTGCTACATGCAGGTAAACAGAAAGATTAATGTGATCCTGGCGGCAGATGGGGCGAGATTGTCGGGATGGATGTGACAAGTTTTGAAATGATTTATGATATGTCAATATTAAATTCGCTTCCGCAATATTGTTAAATACTCCGTACTGCATATGTTATGAAAAATATTATTGAGATTAATAAAGTGTGTTTGAAAAGTTTTAAATTTTACGATTACCAAGTTAAATACTTTAGTCCGAATGGGGCTGCAGACCTGGACGGATTAGGGTGTTACATGATCTGATCTGATTGAGTCTGATCTGATCTGACCTGATTAGGTGTGATCTGATCTGATTTTAATATGAATAAGCAATAAGTAGAAAAAATAAGTCTTAGGGAACGGACGCGAACACAATTGTATCACAGAAGCATACCAACAACTATTGTCTGTACGTGTACAATAGTTGTTTGTGTGTGTACAAAAATAATTAGTGTGTAAGTTGAGTACTCTCTCTGTGTAGAAATATTCATCTTATTTGACTTTTCACGGTTTACAATGTCAATTTTGATCATTAATATTTATATTTATATATGGATATATTTTATAAAATTTGATACTTTAAAATTACTTTCCAACATCAATATATTGGCATTAAACTTATATCATAATACAATATGTTTTTCACATATCAAAGTCAAAACTTACAAACTTTGACAAAAAAAAACAAATGAAAAGATTATTTATTGACGGAGGAGTAGACCCCACTTTTTTCTTTAATTATCCATTTTGGGAAAAAGTTCAGTCACGCGGTTGGGCCACGTATAGAGGTCAATTTGGTCATTTGGTGTAAACCGCGTTCGCATCTCCCTCCTCCTATAAGTAAATAAATCTTAGATCATCTCTTTCCATCAAATCCCCCACAAGGTTATCCAAATCAATCCAAATCGGGTTTGTTTTTCCATTTTCAAGAAAAATGTCAGGAATCATGGAGAAGATCAGCGATGTGCTCCACGGCCACAAAGAAGGGGAGGACGGGGAGAAGCACCGCCAGGACAAGGCGGCGGAGAGCCACAAGGAAGAGAAGAAGCACCACCACGATGTCACGCATGAGGGAGAAGGCCACCACGGCGGCGATCCCAAGGAGGGATTGGTGGAGAAGATCAAGGGCAAGATCCACGGTGAAGGCGGCGATCACAAGGAAGGATTGGTGGAGAAGATTAAGGACAAGATCCACGGCGAAGGCGGCGAGCACCACGGAAAGGATGAGAAGAAGAAGAAGAAGAAAAAGGAGAAGAAGCACGACGGCCACGGCGATGAGAGCAGCAGCAGCAGCGACAGCGATTAGATCCGTCTCCGCTTGCCGTTGACGCCGGTTTATTTGCTTTTTTCTGTTGACGGACCGGCGTTTACGGATAAATAAATACAGTATGTACTGTATGTAATACTGTGGGCTTGTTTTGTACTCTCAATTATGCAACCGTTGTGGCCTTGTTGGCTTGTGGGCCATGGGCAAGTGTGTGGATTTGTAAGTGTTTATTACTTGACCTCAATAATAAACAGGCGAAGTTAATTTAAATTTATTTATGCCTCTATGGTTAACAAAATAAAACCTGAAATAAGAGGAATAATGTGGCATTGTAATAGAAACTATACATTTTTAACTTGTGCAATCTATGGTAAGAATATTATTCTCCTCATTTCCAATTTATTTTTACATTTTTCTTTTAAGTTCTCTTCAATTAATTCATACACATTCTTATTTTTCTAACAAAGCAAAGAATATATATGTAGCTCTCATTTCTTCTATCTCTTTTAAACAAACTAGTATTTTGACCCATGCCGCACACGAGGCCAAACAAATTTTTCCTCAATTTCGAAGTTTTCTTCAATGCAATATATTTTCCAGAACAAAAAAAAATAGCAAGATTTTTGGTACGATAGACACAATTCAACACTAAAGTAGAATAAATAATTTTTGAATAATTGAGAATGTACTTGACTACGTGTTTTTTGTTTCTAATTTTTTTGAAAGACTTCAAACTATACAATATGTTTGTTATTGTCATTTACAAATAATAATTTTAATAATTTTTTTAATAATGTATTTATCGTGAAAAAACATAAAGATGATCATGGCTTAGGTACGTGGTATATTATCAATCCCCATTTTAAATTAAAATTCTGGTATTACTTTTATCCCAAAATATTCATCCAGGTTGTCCTTTTTGTAGTCACACTGAAAAAAACTTGATGAAATATTAAAGTAAAATTACACTGTATTTATTAAAAAACTTATATCTTTCTTTAACGTGGTAGAATAAATTAAATTTAATTAGAAATAGACTGCAATTTTCTTCCCTTGAAGTAGAATCATAATTTTTATAGTATGAAGATGAGAGAAAGGTTTGTACCCACAAACATTATTTCTATACTTCAGTTTTTGTTACTTATTTATATTCTCTAAATTATTTTCTATATATGTAGGTGATGGATTAGGGATTTTTCCTAATCCAATATTATTTGAACAGTACAAGTAAGCCCAACTCAGTTCGGCCCAATTTACAAATCAGATAAATTATTCAAGACGGAACCCGAGATATAAAACGAAGAAGATAATTTGAAGTGATATAAAAATATTTGATGGAGCCCAAGAGACATCACCACATGGGACACACTTGACCTCCACATGGGCTTGTCTTTCCATAAGTGTGATATGAAGTATATGTCCCATATATTCTCTTTATAAGAGAAGGAGATAGAGCCTGGAGGGAGGCGAGATTCCTACAACAACTTACTACTATTCTTCATTCTTCTTCTTCTTTAAGCTTGGAGCTCTATTAATGGCTCCAAGCTCATACAATGATGTATATGTAAATTCCCCTGAGATTAACAAAAGTTCCTCCCCTTTGGCATGGCACCGCCTAAAAAGGCCCGTGGTTTTCTCCCTATTTGGGTTTCCACGTATAAATACTTTCTCTCCGCTTTATTTATTTATTTAATTTTCGGATTTCGCTATTCGGTGCGGTGCCGACCCGGTACCGATTTGGTCGGGTCGACGCCCCGAAAAAGCGGTTTCCATCACTGGCGCCGAACGTGGGACCGGTCACAAAAACCTTTTGTACTCCGGGTCTGTAATGGAGGAAAAAAGTGGAAGAGAAGGTAAAATAAAGAGCAAAAAAGGGGATGAGAACGAAAAGAGAGAGAGGGAGTGGAAGAGAGTTAAAAGTCAATAAAAAAAGAGAAAAGGGGTTTCCTGCTTTGGTGGCTTTCCAGAGATAAAATCCAGCGGCCTTTCTCCTCCGTCGAACAGCGGCAAGTTCTGCCAGGCCTTGGGCGAGCCACGGACGGCAGTGGCCGGCCTCCGATGAACTCCTCTCTTCTCCGGCGAGCCACTACCGGTCTTCTCCAGCGAGTCCTCTAGCGCGCCTCACCTCCGGTGGGATACAGCAGGCGGTCCTCCCCGACGAGCTCCCCCTTCCTCCGGCGAGCCACGGACAGCAGCCGCGAGCCTCCGGTGAACTCCTCTCTTCTCCGGCGAGCCACTCCTGGTCCTCTCCAGCAAGCCCTCCAGCAAGCCCTCCAGCGCGCCTCACCTCCGGCGGGATACAGCAGGCGGTCCTCCCCGACGAGCTCCCACTTCCTTCGGCGAGCCATAGGCAGTGGCAGCGAGCTATAGTCCGGACCGCCGGCGAGCCGCGGACTGCGGGGATCTTTCCGGCGAGCAGTGAGCAAGAAACAGGGCCGCCGGTAGTACCCTCCACCAGGGTTGGTGAGCATCCTCCCAGATCGGCGAGCCCTCTAGCGTGCTTCACCTCCGGCGGGACCAAGCGGAGAACCATAGCCACTCTAGCATCGATCCAGCGGCGGCGGCCCTCCGACGAGCTCCCACTTCCTCTGGCGGTCCTCTCCGCCGATCCGGTCATCCCCGATAGTCCTCTTTCGCGATCCTCTCCCGCGGTCCTCTCCCGCAGTCCTCTCCAACGGTCCTCTCCCGCGGTCCTCTTTTGCGGACCTCTCCGGCGGTCCTTCCCATAGCCACTCCAGCGGCGGTCCTCTTAAGCGAGCCAGGGACGGATCTAGCTTTAAGAGGTGCATTCCAGCTTAAGGGGTCCCTCACATGGACGGATTTGGCCTCCAGTGGACCGCTCCATCTTCATTGGTCCTTCACATGGACGGATTTGGCCTCCAGTGGACCGCTCCATCTTCATAGGTCCTTCACATGGACGGATTTGGCCTCCAGTGGACCGCCCCATCTTCATAGGT